GGGGAAGAAAGGGGAAGTAAAGTACAAAAAAGGAGGAAGCACAAGAGCGATCGAAGTGATAAACGAACGAATTAAGAGAGAGAGAGAGAGAGAGAGAGAGAGAGAGAGAGAGAGAGAGAGAAGGAAAGGAAACTATAATATAATCCCACAAAAAAATCTTTTGGAAATCAAATTTCATATATTCATTTGAAATATTTGGCTTCGCCCTTGCCATAACTGTGGGCCTACTGTGAATACCTGTCCATTAAATTATAGGAAGAGGTGGGAGAGTGAATTGGTCTTCGAATCGTTGGATTCCGCAAATAATTTTGTCCGGATTTGGGGTACAGATTWAAAATTTGTACGGGTCGATTGGCGAATCCTGCAAATGCAGCGGATAGCGGGTAAATCCATTTTCTGGCCCGGATTTTGGTTTTTGCTCTTTAAGGAGTTTGGAAAACACAGAATCGCTAAACCACAATCACATACAAGGCAACTTGATTAATTCGAGCAATGTTTTTGCGAATCGTATTCGGATTCGTATACCCCTATTTAATCCTCTCCATATCGGACAGGCTTCCACTATCAACCAGCTTTAATTCTGCAGTAAAATTACTTTGGATCGTTCAAGAAGAAATTCACGACTTCAGAGTTGTTTTTAAATAACTTTATTATTGCTAACAAAAACAATATTGATTAGAAGCATAACATTTATAATAAGTTAATTAACAGTAGTGCTATCAAATTCTACAATATTTTTTTTCCAGATTTTTTAAATTATCTGAATCCCATTTTCATTGATGACTACCTCTTATGAATGAATAAAGCTTATTACATGAGCTTATATAACTATTGCAAATACTTATATAACCAAAAAGTTTGAATTACTTTATAGAAAAACTCCACAAAATAAAGAATTTCTAGATGAATATGATTTATAAGAAATGATTTTTGCTTTCCTACTTGCTTTTGTGAATGCTGTGAGAAGCAGCTAGTAAAGCTCACAAGATCATAAAATGAATATAATAAATGAATGCACGAGATGCGATATTTTCTACGCAGTTTTGATTGAAACCTTTCTAATTACAATCTTTTTGCACCTTAACTATATCGCAAACTCTTGATTGCTAAGTTATACACGTAAAAACTATGCGATTGTACTATTTTACCCTTATATTATTAATCTATTTGCCGTTCCGTATTAACTAAATCACAAGGCACCTCTTCCTTGCTATTGGTAATATATATGTAAGCTTATCTATTCAAACACTCAAACCCCAACTCAAAACACCTGTGTCTAACACTATCTTAACTATAAAGCTAGATGTCAATGCAAACCAAAATCCGAGTCCCGAAGATTAGAGGAATGTTAACGACCTCGTCTACGCATTGGATTGTGGGTTTAAATCGATGACGTAGCTTGGGCATTTGTTTTAAAACTTCAGACCACGTGTTGTAACTTTGAGAATACGATTTTGTTTCAATTGCACAAAAACAAAGAAATAAAACTCAAGGGAATAACACGTGGTTTAAAATGGGCAAAAATTTACGCTCAAGCTAAAGAGGTATATATTCCACATCCTATACACCTAGGTCATCAACAGTCTTCATTTATCAGACTTCGCAAGGACAGGATGTGGATAAAAAGAGATTTAAGGCGAGTGGAGTAAATAAGAATGGTAGGGAGTGACGGTAAGGGAAAGAAAGGGACATTCAAGGGATGACAGGATAAATGGAAAGTGCACGTGGAACATCGGATTGCTAGACACCCTGTTAGATTTAACATCCTTGTTTACTCTATTACCAGATCACAAGGTAAACTATTCTATTCTTAGCATCTCAACTAGCGCTATTTATCTTCTATGCGAAACCAAAGGCACCCCAAGCAATAACTTTGACTACCAGATGGTTCAGTAAGAGATTGGTGATTAAGTGTAAATCACATATCCGTGAAATAGCAAATAAACTAAATAGCACTGTACGCATCTTTTTCCTTTGTTTTCAATTGTTTCATTCTTGTGTCATTTTGTGCCTATTAGTATTATTTCACAGACATATGGTTTGCACTCTGTTATAGTGATAACTCTTAATTTATTCAAATATCTTATTGCGTTGGTTGGGCTGCCTGTGGAAGATCTAAGGCGTGGGGATCTGTGCTTGCTATCATATATCGCACAGACGGGAGGCCATTACCGGCGGGTAATATGGAAAAAAACGTGCTGATTCTAGATAATAATGTCTATTGACACAGTCGAGCCCCGCTATTGATTGGGCTGTCAGTCTGAGCATGTAGTAGAATAACGTAAAATCTGTGCTACTAACCCGATAGATCAGGATACGTCTTAGGTTCAATATCTACATATTGACCTTGTTATTGGGTTAATTTTTACATATTAACCTCTTAATAGGGAATTCATTCCCTGCTTAGTCAACCCAGCCGCATGGGTCGAGTTTCAGATTGAAAGTTCGTGGAGTCAAATCCTTATTTCTTGTAAACTTTGGGCATTTAATTCAGGATGTCCTGAAATAGTCTATGATCTCCCTATGTTATACTATATAAGGAGTCAATAGAGTTGAGGATGCCCTTTTATGGCCTATATTTGGCCTAGCTACAACTCTGATGAAACTAGATCTTAGTTCCTTGTAGTAGCTTTTAAAACTAAAATGAAGTCAGCATGCATTGAAATCGCCTGTACTATTTCTGATTTGCAAACTCGGGCAGCAGAAATTAGAACCAATGCATTTATTTGAGTGGCCGACTTGCTGGACACCAGAACTTAGCATGTCTGGAGTCTCGAGGAGTCTCCTATAACCTTGATCCAGAGAATATAATGCCTTATGTATCATGGCCTACAATTTTACTACAATAACTATATATTATGCCGTAAGATTTCAGCAACCTTTGAAACGGTCTTGACTACAATCCCTACCATGTAACTCTAATGTTTAGCATGCCTTATCATTGCCTACAATTTTACTACAAGACCTAGACATTATGCCAGTTGATTTCAGCAACCTCTGAAATGGCCGGTCTTGACTACAATCTCTAAGCCTTCTCAAGGAGTCTCCTATAATCGTGCTCTTACGTTTAGCATGCCTTATCGTTGCCTATACATTTACTACAATCCTAAAACTATGCGACGCCGAATTCGGCACCGAAATGTTCTACAATCTCACTACAAATCTAGCAACAGGCATCAAAGCTTCGTATGCCCTTTTGTGGCCTACGACTTTACTACGATATAGTCACAAATCTAGCAACAGGCATCAAAG